TTACTCTGGATATATAAGTTGCCATCTTGTGTAATTGGAGCCGGAGTCTGTGCAGTTGTGATCAAGGTATTGAGGTCCTGCTGATCCACATATTCGACAAATCACAAGTCAGCTTCAGATCATTACGTTTCTCTCTGTTTCTATAACATCAAATTACTAATTAAAACTGAGTTTACACAGTTTATGATCATTTAGTTGTTGTCCAACCTAATATACAATCTATGGTTTGTCCATTGTGGGATTTTTCTAAAGTAACAGACAGACCAGAGGCGGACTTAACCATTAGGCAAAGGTCGGCAAATGCCTTAGGCCCAGTACTACCAGGGGCAACATAAAGAACCTAATAAACTTATGGATAAGATTTTTTTTTCAGAAGACAACAGCACTAATAAGAAGCAAGACTGTCAGAAGACACGTTCACTACTTTTCTATAACAGCAACCCTGTACCTGCCTTCAGCCATGAGTAGGAAGGGACACAACTCAAGGAACAAGGTAAGATTTCCTACACTTTGTTTAATTTTAAACATGTTCAGACCATCTTATATTTTATTGTTTCATTTTTTTCTCTCAAGCGTGCAGTGTCATCAAGGTCTCAGTCAAACCCCCAACAACAGAGAACAACGTATGCAGAGGGCCCCATGCCTGTGTTCGCCTTGGGCCCCCAAATTACTAAATCCGCCACTGGGACAGACAATTTAGTTTCAGGTGATCATACGCTAATTAAAACATATTTATTAATTTTATATTCCATTTCTGCCCAAAAATGTACCTTTTAATCTAACCTTTAAAAGCTTACTGCAGTCATACATTACCAGAATAGATCTTAGTATAATGTGTGTTGCCACCATCTAGATCAAACACAGCTCTCATCAATTAATTTCCCACCCTGCCACTTCCCTCCTCCTCCCTCTCTTGTCCACCCTCCATCCTCCATGACTGGCTGTCTGTTAGGTCTGACTTATGACTCCAGCTTAACTCTTGGCCACTGTAAATGTCCTGCTGATAGTTTTGCCGTAATATCGCAATTTGTCTTGCCAGTCACGACGGGCACTTTTGCAAGACAAGTGACTTTCTGGAGACAATGTGAAGAAGGCCCAGAGGAGCGTGGGTGCCAGGCTCGTGAAAGATGACAGGCGACGTGTCTCTTTCATTCAGACCAACAGCACGGCTCGTCTTGCTGAGCTGAACAGCAGGTACAGGCACTGTGGCACTTCACCTAAATTAATAGTTGACCCGCACGCCACGTCGCAGAGTGAAGAGTTATGGCCGGAGTGCCGCAGCAGGACAGGCAGCAAACATGGCTAACAATAGGGTGGTGGGATGTTTGATGAGGGGACTCAAAGCAGAGGCCAGAAGGTTAAGATGGATGGATTAGCTTTGTTATCAGAAAGGCCACGGAAGCATTGCACCAGCCGTCCTCACTGGCTTATCATCACATCCAACTGGCTAATCCAATTTCTGCTCTCCTCTGTATCTTCATTCAGTGGTGTTTCTAAATTTATACGGGCTGACTGAGGTGTCACATGGATTTGGGAGCTTACCGATCTAGCTTTGATACTTACTATATTTGACCAGTTTATTTAACTCTAGGATGCACAGCTCCAAATTAGAAACTGCATTTCTCTGTACGGTATACACTCTTTTCCAAGCTCTTTCCAGGAACACAATGTGCTTAATCACGGAACAATTTTCAAAATATATTAATCGATGTGTGACGTCACCCAAAGCTATAGAGCCAACCGTAAACAAAGACTGACTTGAATGTGCACCTTACTGAATCAGAAACTGTGCATGGACGTTGGAATAATACAAATTAAAATCATTAAAAAATGATATAAATAATATAATTGGCACCCTCTATGTAAGCTATTGCCCCTTAACCCTTTAACTGCCTGCTCAACCGTTTGGTAGAGCACATTTTGAGTCATTATATCTAATTGAGGTGAGTGTTGAAATCAATTCAACCTGATTGAGCCATCTCTACTATTTGACTGAGGTATGTTATGCCACAAAAATCCATTAGATGTTACTGCATCTTAGCATTGTAGGCGTGTCCATTTCCCCTCGAACAAGGAGGTGAAAGGCGTGAAAATCACTGCATTTGATCAACTGTGTTCGGTGACATTTTGAAAGGTAAGCATATTTTTTTTGACATATACTGTCAGAGGCTTCAATGAGCAGAACTATTTTACTTATTGCCGCAAAACAAGTCTAACAAATGTGTAAGAATTTTTTGAAAATGACCTCAACCAAACGGTTGATTTGTCAGTTTATGGTAAAACTAGAAACATTAAGCTGATTTGATTAATGTTGACTATTTGCGATGAAACAAAAACTTTAGATTATTTATTTTTGTCAATATGAAAGATTTAATGTTATTCCATCATACATATGTTGAAATAGTTTCCTAAGTTTGGAGTTTTTCTCACTTTTCAAAGTAGATATGCTAAATATCCAGAACATATATGTGAAAATGATTACAAACAAAAATTAAAATAACTAGATGGATGCTCAAACATTTTATGGTGCAAAACCAAACACTATTCTGGCTCTTGTACCAGAAAATCCTCAAGACTCTGATGGTGATCTGAGTGAGGATGATGACCAAATAAATGATCCTGATTATCGGCAAACACAAGCAGAGCTGAGTGGTGACAGCTCCTTTGAATCGTTGGATGAAGAAGACACTCCCTCCAGAGCTGCCTCGTAAAAAAAGGAAAAAAGGCAAACAAACCTTAAAAACTGTTTCCATGGAGGAGCCAAAGGACACCCCTGAGCCAAGTCCCCCCTCAGACTCAAACACACTCCAACGAATTATTTGTGCTGTTGCACCACCACACAGTTGAAATATGTTGAGACAAAAAAGACAGAAGTGCATTTTTTTCTCCTTTATATTGCAATTTTTTCAGTTTTTGATAATGTTTTGCACTGTAGGTTACAAATAGAAGTTGATCTATTTGAATAATTTTTGCTGTTGCATCTCAGCTTGCATGAGGTCAAGATAAAAAGTTCAAATTGAACGTTTTCTTGTTTTTACAATATTTTCCATTGTTAATGTGACGGCCTCCGTAGTTTTCCACCTTGACCAAAGGGATTTTGTTTCCAGCATCCATCCTGACTTGTTACTACTGACTAATTCAATGAGTGATTTAGGACCATTGATTTATTCATTATATAAATGAATAGATATTCTATAGCAGTGATTATCAACTGGTGGTCTCAAAAGTGGGTCGCAGGCCTTTGCCCGGGGCAATAAAAAATGTAAAAAAAAAAAAAATAATAATCTGTGCTTTTATTTTGAAGAGGATTTTTTATGCAGCTGAGTGCCGTCTATTCACACTCCTTAACAGTAAGTGGCGATAATGCCCTGTAATGCTAATTGTCATTGTCATTATGGGGTGATGGTGGGTCCTGAAGCCAGACCAGTTGAGAACCACTGTTCTATAGCATGACATTTCTGGGAGAGAAGTTGAAATTAAATCAAAAGTAGTATTTTTGAACAAAACATTTTGAAGGCAAACTAGCTTGGTCACAAACCTATCCACCTGATGGGTAACCTAATTAAAAGTAAATTATTTATTTCAAGAGTAAATGTTTGTAGAGTCTATATTCATTTGTTCCACCCTGCACATTATATTTTTTATTAGCAAGGCTCAATCTTTCTAAATTCCGCTTCTTTTCTTCTCGCTTCTCATATCTTATATCAGAGAGATCTTCACAAATGTATTCCATTTGATTTGCTCTCAAAAGGGCTTTTAAAAGCATATTTGGGATTTTTGACAGACATGAGAAGAACAATGTAGAAGGTTTCAAATCCCTGAGAGGATAATTAATTTTGAAGAACTCAGTTTTTTTTCTTTTTCTTTTTTAATCGAGCCAGGTTAGTCATGCGAGTATGAAATCGATATGACGTGTAAATCAAAAATAAATTAGGTTTTCTTTTGTTCTCTGCGAACAATCATTTCAAATTAATTGCAGAGTAGACTCCATGCTTTAAAGTAATGGTCCAGCTCAGATTCAGGGCTGCTTTACATAATGCATACAGTGCAGGCTGGATTTAAAACAATTTACTTCTGGGGTTAACCAGGCTAATGACACATTCATTTTCTGCAAGGGGAAGCTATACAGTGCATAGGAATTAAATGAGCTATTCATTGTCCGTTGGCACCCACAGACCACTCTGAGCTCAGTCTCCGTACAACAAGGGCTGAGATTTCCATGATAATGGGATTGATCCCTCATCTTTGAAACTGTGGGGTGAAGCTCTAATTAATAACTGGTGCAATCTGGTTGATGCTTTTTAAAAATAGAATCACAAATATGGTAACACAGATGCCTCAACTTTAAAAAAAAAAAAAATGTACAAGAGCCCTGAAATCTGAGGGCAGACTTTATATTTTATATTCCGATCCTGAAGTGGGAATTCACTCCTCTGTTAACCTCTTGCTGAGGAGGGCACAGTCAGTACTCTGGGTCACTGACAGAGAAGCTCCTCTTGAGATGGGGAGGGTTCAGTGCACTGACAACACAGGGATGTCAGTCATGGGTTTCTGAGGCCATGTTGTAAAGCTTGCATGTCTCGCTGCCGTCTTATTCAGCCAATGGAACCACTTCAAATGTGGTCTTATCTTTCTAAGAGACTTAATAACTCAGTGCAATATTCTCAAAATATGAAAATAAACATTTGACCTTTATTTCTTTAAAAAAAAAACATATGACAGAATTAAAAGCTTGCAAATTTTCCGTTTTTCCTCTTTTTCGAGAGAGGATGAATTATCCAGTACAGTAAATACTCATTTGGCAATTTCTTGTTCGCCTTAAGTGCCATAAAAGAAATATAATTATTAAGACAGAGTTTATTTACAATAAAGCTAAACAGTGACCTTTAAAAGCAGAAATCTAGCAATCACGATTAATCACATGCATGACTGATCAGAGCCAAGGACTTTCAGAAAAAAATAAGATGATATTTTTCCTTTTTAATGCTCATTTTATTTGTGTGAGATTGGTAGAGAATACAGCCTATTTTAGCCTATAATTTAATGTAAAATTGTCAATCATCTTTATTAATAATGTAACACATACCTGAATAAAAGAGAGGAACATGGCTAATTTAGAAATAAAACTAAACTGCTGCTGGCACATAAGTCAGCAACATCACCAATATCTCAATGAGGATGATGAGGAAATGTATTTACAGAGATAAAGCAAACAGCTGCATTGTTGTTGATGATAATGCAAAGGTGTATAAAAGAATGAAATGGCAAATTGGTTTTTAGGTTTGTTTATACTAGAATTTACTCTATCAAGCACATACTCCCAAGGTCCAACACTCCTCTTAAATGTAATACAGCTGCACCAAAGTGCACACATTCATAGAAGCCAGTCCCCTTAATATGCCTGATTTAGATTTTATTAGAATCCATAAAATATTTTCTGGGAAACCAGTGACAATGTCAAAATAAAACAAAACAAAAAAATTCCCTTATCCCTGGATCTACCCACTGACATGGATCCACACAATAATTTAAGGGCTTTGGTGGTTCCCTTCCTCCAAGTGTTTGTGTAATCTTGCTGACAAACATACAAACCAACCTATAAAACAAACAGCCGGGGGTGAAAAGATAACCTCTGTTTCTGCCTTTGGTGCTTCAGACACCTAGGATATAGTTTTAGCTGCGTCAAGAGGAACCATGAACTCTTAAATTATATATCTTATCTTATTAATGTAGTAATTATGAGATGCAAGAAGTTTGATGAATACATTTATTGTTTCACTGTTTTGTGAGTGGGAGTAAATGCGATTTTTAAAGAAATATATTTTGCTAAATGTAAAAAAAGTTTGATAAATACTTATGTGTGTCTTTTATGCTGAGTTTTAAGGAAAACCTGTATCAACATGATTTTTAGCAGAAAGGTTTGCTCTCTAATCTCCCTCAAAGAGCTCTCTGGCTTTTGTTGGGTCTTTGTGGTCTTGTCATTCTGAATCCTGCAAATTAAGCAAAGTGCTAATTTCCACTCTCAGTCTCTCTTTGAAGACTTTCATGGTGTGGCAGTTAGGTGCAAACACAAAAAAGTGACAGAAATAGGTGTAAAGAATGAAAGAAGGGGTCAGGGGTTTACACTCGACTTTTTTCACACATTACACACCCAGCAATGTTGTGATGTTGATTTTAGAAAGTCATTAAAGCTTGTCGGTAGTAGCCCTTTACAATGCCAATATAATAAGGATGTGCGTGTTTGGAATTTAACCATATTGACCCCTTCAGAGACAGGGCGGATAAAACAAAGGGCGCTTGGAATGCAAAGGTAGTGTTCAAAATCCTCCAAACCTGTTGGATTTCATTGGAAAGAAATACTATCTCATTCTAAAACTGCATAATGTAAATTGTTTCCACAGCCTAAGGCGATTCTGCATCGAATATGCCTTTCTGCCACAGTGATGGCAGCTTTATTCAGTGACTTGCTCAAGGACACTCGAGCAGAGCTCTCTTTGCCCACACAAGTGATTGTGTACCTTCGGTTGACGGACAGTCTCTTCACCTAGTCCACCAGCCTCACAGGAGTCCAACCTTGAGCTCCACATTGGTTTTAGTCATTCCTACTAATGAGGACCACAGGCATCAGAGGCTGGAAGATGGACAGATAAAAGAAGTACGTGAGGAAGGAGCTGAGACCAAGACAGATTATATATGCTGCTGATGAAAAATGAAACATGGAGCCTCTGCCTTCCTTTCTTCCAAACTTTTATTCTTTAAAGTTCAAAGGTGTTAGTGTGATGTCTTAATGCCACCAACATAGCATCAGAGAAATAATGCAAGGAGCTTTATATGTACACGGCTACATGCCAATGTATTTTTCCCCCTGAAAAGTTTATCTTTCCACTCCCATGCCTCCCTCTGATTCCTGTTGCCACATCCAATTTTGACTGTCAAGGACGACTGCAGAGGCGGCATAATCACTGCGGGCTCCGTGCTATGCAATCTGACACAGGAACTGTCCAAGACGTTTACCCTCACCAGTGTGGCCCACACACAGAAACACATTCAACGCAGCAGAAATGGAAACAGTGCACAGTGTTGATGCTGACAAACTGGTCGTTTCAAGACACAAGTGCATACGCTCAATTAATTTCAATTATATTTGGATTGTATTGTACCAAATAACAATCTGCATTATCTCAAGTTACTTTACATAGTAAGGTCAAAACTGTATAAAATTATAAAGTAGGGCAACAAGCAAGCATTTAGCAGGAAGAACCAGCAAGAAACCTCAGAACCAGTCTATATATACACGCACACACACGCACACACACACACGCACGCACACATGCATGCACACATGCACGCACACAACCAAACACACACACACACACACTTGCAATCAGAAATATTCAACTCCCCAAATATTTTAAGGATTATCAATTAAAGTCTTTTCAAAGAGCAAGATTCTGCTTTGGATGACTTCTTTATGAGTTGAGTGATACATAAAATCAACACAGAAAATGCATGATGTAGTATTTGTGTGTAGCAGTAAATTTGTACAAGATGGCTATCTCATAATTATTCAACCCCTATACAATATTGTTGTTTTTCAAGCTGTCTGACAGTTAGAAAGTGGAGTTGAAACATAATTAAGCCTTTGGGAACTCTATAATGATCCTTCATTTGCTTCAGCTGTGATGCATATATAAACCCCACCCATGAAGGTATTCAAGGTGAGTTGCAATCATGGAAAAGACAGGAGCTTCCACAAGAGCTGAGAGAGGAGATTATTTCATCACACCTGAAGGGCCTTGGGTATAAGAGGATTTCCCCAAAAAATTAATATTCAAAGAGACATCATTGGGAGCATTATAGGGAGGTTTAAAAAGTATGGAACAGGCAACCTGCCTGGCCGTGGAAGAAAGCCCAACATTTCATCGAGGGCCCTTAGCAACTTAGTCAGAATAACTAATATAAACCCCTGTCTGACCGTGTGCAACTATAAGACGTGCACTGAATAAACAAGGACTTCATGGCCGGACTCCAAGACGCATCCCACTCTTGACCACAAGGAACATCAAAAGTTGACTAGAATATGCCAGGAGGAATTTGGGTAAGACTACAACGTTTTCGGAGACAGTTCTATGGACTGATGATACCAAACTGGACGGTTTGGACATATGACCCAGCGGTATGTCTGGCGAGCGAAAGGCCAGGCTTATGACCAGAAGAATACCATCACTAAGGTCAAGCATGGAGGTGGGTCATTGATGATGTGGGGCTGTTTTTTTGTGGCAGGGAACTGGCAATCATGATCGTGTACCTGGCATCATGGATTCCCAGAAATACCAGGCTATTTTAAAGAGGAACGTGATGCCTTCTGTTAAATTAAACCTTGGTGATCATTGGACTTTCCAGCAAGACAATGATCCCAAGCACATCTCCAAGTCAACCAAAGCTTGGTTAAGAAAAAGATCCTGGAACGTCCTGGAGTGGCCTTCTTAGTCACCAGATTTAAATCCGATTGAAAATCTTTGGTGGGATTTAAAGAAGGCAGTTGCATGGAAGCCATCAAACATCACTGAGCTTGAGGCTTTTGCACGTGAAGAATGGACAAAGATTCCGATCGAGAGGTGTAAGAAACTTGTCAGCACTTCATACTGTATATATATATACATTTTACAATTCATTGCTCCATCAGTAGCAATCTGGCTTGTCTAAATAATATGTAGTCCCTAGAAAAAATGTTGATTCAAGTGTATCATATCAGTATGAAACCCTAGATAGATTTTATACTGTTTACAGCCACTACACTGTATGCACCTCTGCACACTCAACAGACTGCAGACCATCTAGGCTTTCCCAAGCTACGGGCAAATTAGTCTAGATTTGCCACAAGGGCAGTGATAATGCACCTAAAGCACACAAAACAAATATTGTATACCAATATCAAGTACTGTTTGTCCATCCAAAGGCTGATATATCTTATTCCTCCGTGCAATAGAGCTCCATTGCTGTCCAAAAGCCATTAAAACACAATCAGTGTGCCACACTGCTGCATTAGATTGAAGGTTTCTTCATTACCATGAAAACAATCAATGTCATTTATTAATTTATTTTTAATTAAACTAATTTGTGAGATGTTTTTTATGTGTAGAGTAGGAACCAATGTGTGGTCAAAGTCTGAATAGGTTGTGTTGTTTTTGTTGGACCTGTTGGACTTGTATTGTATTGCATTGCTTGTAATTACTTCTTCATATAACTCAGATTTAAACTAATTTTTAGTCCTGCGCTTCATTGTGAATACTTTTCATTACTCCTTGCACAATCTCAACTCATTACAATTCCCACTAGCTACTAATTAACTATTTATAATCTGATTTTATGTCAGTGACTCATTACTATGGTGAATAATTGGTACATCTATCCTTTTGCAAATGAAAAATGCATAATTTCAGAGGACAAGTAATGGTTAACATGTTCTCTAATTTCTGTTTTCCTACCTGCTTTTTCAATAAATGAATACACAGTATACCTCTTGTATCTTTATTTTGTTTGCCAAGTGATTTACGGCTCACAACATCAAGGATGTATCACTGTCAGCTTTAAAACTAAGAAGAAGCTACTGTGCTGGATCTAGCTCAGGTGCTTCCGCTATATTACTGATGGACATTTAAGTTTGACATAGCTGCTGTGGAGGCACAATGCACACAGGCCTGAAGCAGTAGGAGGCTGGCAGGACGGAGGAACTAAAGGTAAAAAGGAAAATTCGGCAAACGCAGCAAATGACATCTAAAAGTAAAGAGGACATACTAACTGCATGTTTGTGAAAAGTCTTGTGTCCCCCCTTCTAACTTAACTACATCTCCTAATGTCACATATCATCATAATGATTAGAAGTCACCTAACAATAAAATGTAACTATTAATTACAATAAGCTGTATTTTTCACAGGCTAGATATACTTTAACTTATTCAGATTTCCCTGATCTTGGATTCAGTTAATCTTTGTGTTGTCGAGTAGGTATGTAAAGATTTGCTAGTTAGTGAGTAAGATTGTGACATGACCTCAAAGCAGCCAGCAATATTAGAACTGGATGACGCAGGTCAACTTTTGTTTCGTTATGATGGATGTGGAGGCAGCTTCAGTCCTCAGGAAACCAAGGGGAAGGGCTCCTTCTTATTACAGGGCTATGGCAGAGAAAGCTGTGAAAAGATATCAATTTACCCACTGCAACAACCAAGGTTACTGCAGTCACGAATTAACCATCCTCTCTTCCTCCTGTGGTTAATTCCTGTCTTTGCCTTTTGCTATTTTATGTGGTTTTGTTTTTCTCTTTTTAATTTGTTATTTTCCTTCTCATTACTTTGTTTAATCTCTGAAGCTTTTAAATACCCTAATCTCCACATTGTCTTTTGTTACATTTTACTTATATTTACATCTCTTGGATATATAGTTGTACTTAACACTATATTAACTATATTAACAATCAATAGCATCAATGTGATTAAAAGACTGAGATTAATGAATTGGAAAATGCTAAGGACATGAACTCTGATCTCCCGCATGGCGATCCTTCCACAAAGCCAATTGCATTACTGAACACTGGACATACATTTTGAAATAAATCCAACTGGGAGGAGACCCCAGGCAAACTCAGGACATGTTGAAAGGATCACATATCCAATTTGGCCTGGACATACCCTGGGGTATCCCTTTGGGCAACTGAAGTATGCAGCTAGAGAGAAGCAAGCCATATTTCTCTTCCTTATAAACTCCTTCAGACCTGGATAAATAGAATAATATATATGTGTGTGTATGTGTGTGTGTGTGTGTTTTGTTGGTCTTAGATAGGACGTAGCTATAGAACAACCTTTATTACCTCTAAAGATAAATTAATCTTAAATCGTAAAGGTCTACTATACAATATGGGTTGAATCAATAAGTAGTTACTTCATCAAATGCTCTCCCTTGCTGTTGTAAAATTCCAGTATTCATTTCCTAATGCGAGCGCAAGATAAAAGCTGTCCTTTCCCTCTGTGAAGCCTTGATTGATTCTATGACACTACCTGTATAATGAGAAATGTCTGTGGGAGAATATCAATGCCCAGGCCAGAGGTGGCCAAGGAAACATCAGTGCTCAAGTCTTTTAACTTTGAGCAAAGGACAAGGCTGTCAACATTATTCCTTTCATACCCTGACAGTTGGTGTATGGTAATTTATCAGAGACTGGCTCATTCAAAGTCTAGCATATATTTTTTAAACTCAATTAGACTATTTTCTATTCAGTCAGCACATGTGTACGTTACATCTCCACTGACTCAACTTACAAAATATCTTTGAGATCTGTGTTCCCCTGCTCCTCATTGCACCCTCACATGAGTGTAGAGGAGTTCAAGTAATTGATATGTCTGGCCAAAGTGTTTTTTCTGTAATTCATGATAAGTCAGATGTAGATATTTCTTCAGATTCACCAGAGAATCAGAAGCGTTTCTCTTAATATTCACAGCTAAGATCTATGTTAGAAAACAGTTTTCATTGCATCCTAAGAACTGTAGAGATTAGGGGAATCAATTTTCCAATGACAGATACAAAACAATGTATATTTTTATCAAGCTGTAAAAGTCGAATACTCTGATCAGATAG